TTGGTAATTATTCATATCAGAATAGTTTCTTTTAATAGTAACTTATATTTCTTTTTTTGTATAAATAAAAGTAAAGATAAGGAAATTAAAATATCGATCAAACCAAATTTAACATTAACATTTTCATACTGGTTTCCTTTTCCTTTATTTAAGTAAATAATTTCCGTTTGGATACATTTAGTTTCAAATGTGAAAATGTTTCGCTGATTTTTTTAATGCTATTTTAAACCTTTAAAATCATATTAAAAAATATTTATAATATTTATATAATTCCAAATGTAAATAAAAATATTTATATTTCATTCGCTTATTATGTAAATTATAAAATGAAAAAAAGAATTTCTATTAAAACTTTTTGTATTTACTTTTTTTTTTTAAACGAATACAATTAAATAAATGCATTAAAATATGTTTTGTAATATTTAAAAAAAATCAAGATTCTATTATAAAAACGTTATATTTTTGTATTAAATAGGAATCACAAACAGGAAAGCACGGTTAAAATATTATAATGACGTCAATTATATCAGGAATATCCTTTAATATTGATAACTTACTTTCCAAGAATGATGTTACTATCAATTCTGTTTTAATTGAAATATATAAATATATATTTTTCTTCTTTATTTTATTAGAGATTATAATAATAAAAAGTATAATAATAATAATAATAATGATAATCTTTCAAAAGTCGTTTAAAATTACATTTTAATTTAGAGAAAACTGAGTAGGTTTATTATATATTTAATGTGTACTAGTTGTGCAATTTAATCGCATATGAAACTATCATCTAAAGCAATTAATTAACATAATTAATTGTTTTAAATATAATTTAAATCTGATACAGTCGATCCCCCCTATAACATTGTTGATTATTCCATTTTATATGAATTCCATGTTGTATGAGTCACTTAGATTTTACAAATACATAAGCCGTTCACGGCCTGGTACACATATTTGTAAAATCTAAGTGATTTGTACAACATGGAATTCATATAAAACAGAATAATCAACAGTGTTATAGGGGGGTCGACTTGTATACATATAATTCTCTAATAAAAAGTAAACTTTCATTTACCAGATTTCATTTTATAATACAATGTTGTAAACATATATGTAATATATCATAAGAATTTTCTAATTAATTAACAAAATCAGTCTCTTTCCCCCCCTTTTTCCTATTAATTTAACTAACCAGAAATACATAACGCATAAATTTCAATTTTCTTTATGAAAATAACTTAACAAGCCTAATACAACAGAGATTAATTAAGAAGAAAGAGAACAAAGTCTATACCCAAACTATCATTAAAAAATTACGATGTAGTAGATCGAATTCAAACTCAAATTCTGTATCGAGAAAGCAAATTCCTTATTTCTCAATAATGAAGCAGATAGGTCTAATATATTATTAACAATGCAACAATTCACTATTATCTTTCATGATTTTATCGATTAGTTCTTTTATATTGAATTATGATATGATTCATCTACATTGCTTTTTAATAAAATAAATCGATTTTAAATATATATACATAATTTGATAATTGTTTCATGGATCAAAACCTATAGGGGAAGTTTGGGCAATGATGCTCAGAGAGTACACGCTCACCTGTACATTCTGTTTTTGTGTTTCGGACCTGAAGACCCCCCTCTTCAACAGGTAGAACTAGTAAAATAATAAACCCAAAAAGAGTGTACAGGTGAAAATAAAGATATTTTGTTTTGATTTTTTGACTATGATCTCCTCTATTTGCTAAACGGAAACTACACCAGTGTAATAAGTCCTATTAATAATAAACAAAGTCCAAAGTAGACAAGGATACAAACAGAAATCGAGCATTGAAAATTGATTAATAAAAATTTTTAAAATAATTTTTGGCACGAGCCGAGGGATGAATAAACCAATCCCGAGTTGACAAGTTACGAAAAACTCGTTATAGCGATCAATGCTGACCCGTTATTTTCCTTCCCCCCGCTAAACTCGCCCCACCTCTACAAGGTCATTGAATCGTAGTTATTGCGCATGAACCTAATATTTAAAAATTTTAAAACGCTCGTCATTGGTTAATTTATTAGACGTCTTTACGTATCTACCAATAATATTTATTTTTACGTAATTTGTATAAAAGGACACGTTAGGATCGGTAAGAGTCGTTATTTTTCAAGATGGCGTCGAGCGAACAAAGAGGAGTTGAATGTTTTGTTGTCGTTTATTGAATTGTAATGTTTTTACGGTTATGAAACTTTGATAATTTTTTTTTGATTTGATTTATCTTCGACTAAATAATGCTCGAATTGGAAGTCTTACCGGAATGTAGTTTACGTAATGATCAAGTGGAGTTTGCATTAGGTAAGTTGACTTTGTCAATCAGCTGTTCGTGCGCTTGTTTTTTTTTTAATGTTTTGATCCCGCTCCAAGGTGAAGGAAATCGCTTTTTTTGTGCTCTCTCCCCCACCAAACACGCAAAAAACTTGCCAAATACACACGACACAATGTTTATACGTCAAAAACTTCCATTTTAATACCACGTTTTATATTTACGAAACATTTTACTTTGTTTTTGTGTTACGACTGTATTTATTATTGTCTTTATGGGAATTGCGTAGCATCCTGTTATGCTAATGAATATATAGGTCAGGTGATGTTACATGTATACAATTATTTCAGTTGTTGTACAGGTGGAGAAAGCTGTCAACAACAAAAAAGAGAAAATAATTTATTTAGTAAATCACATCTCCATGTTTATGCTCCAGTAATAATGCTGGTTATTTGAGTTTATTTCCTTTCGCTTTTTATTATCATTTGTTCAATATATACTTTTTTTGTTTTATCAAAGCAATTTGATGCCATTCTATGAGTTTTTAGGGCCTTGTGGTATGTGCAGAGGGCACAAAGTGCTCCTGGTGGCTTTGAGATTGGTTATTTTGCAAGATTTCTGTGTGCAAAAATATAAAAGGAGTTAATATTAAATGAACAGTTATAATAAAGAAATTGTGCATTTTAAAAATAGGATATAAAGACACCGAAATACCTTAGTTTGATGTCTTTGTATGCTGTAGTAGTTCTGGCTTCAACTATTAAAAAAATGTATAATTTTCTAAAATAGTTTATTAAATTTATAAATTAAATATAAATGTGCTATCAGTAATTGAATTATTTAAATATATTATTTAATTTGTTCTATAGATTGTAATATAATTTTCTAAAATAACATTTTATCTATTAATTTATTAGAGAAAGTGTTATTCCATTTTAAACATCTTTAACATCTTTAAACTATTTAGAAGTCAATAGAAGGACAGAGGTTTAGATTTGATACTATTTAATTATGCCCACATGCAAAAGATTTATCATACTAAACCATTGTGAGGAGCAATAAAAAAAATGAAATGAAAAATATAAATACATAGCACATTAAAATAATTATGTTTTGCAGCTTTGTGTGTTATTTGTGAAATTTCATAAGAATAAATTAATTTTTAAATAATTTATTCTTATTTAATTAAATTTAGTAAAAAAAAAAAAAAAATAGCATAGAAAATATTTAAAACACAATATCCAATCATTTTCTGAATCATGAATATAGTACAAATCCAATGATTTTTTAATTAAAACACAAAATAAGCCTTTCTTATAGACTTTTCCAAGTAACTGAAGCTAAATTATTTTAGCTTCAGTTTCTTGGAAAAGTCTATAAGAAAGGCTTACAATGATTTTTTTAATTAAAACGCAAAATATCTGTGCTATATTTATGATTTAGAAATTGATAGAGAATATTTAAAACAATATCCAATGCTATTTTTTTTTTATTTTACTAAATTTAAAATAATTTAAAGCTATATAATATGGTTTCTATGAATAAACTAAAATGAAAATAATTTATAACAAGATAAAGAATAAAAAATAAATTTATTAATAGTAAAAAAATATATGCTTTTTCTTATTATTTGACAAAGACTTTCTTGGCTTCATGAATATATAGTGTGCTTGAGATGGACTTTTTGATTAGTCATCAATCTTAAGATAAAACTTCCAACTGTATTTTTTAAAGGAAAATTATAGTAATAATTAAATTTAAATTTTTTAGAAGATGGATTTTTTTAATAGAACATCAAAAAATTTTTGTTTTTAATTTGGAAATTTATAGAGAATATTTCTGATAAGTTTTTTTGAATTTAAAAGTTTTAAATTGATAGTATTTTAAATATTAGTAAATTAATTAATTATTGACTTCAAAAAATTTGATTTATACTTAAATGTTTTTATTTCCTCTTAATTTAGTTATAAAATATAAAGCTCATTAAATAATAACTTAAATAAAAAATTATAATTAATTACATATGCAAATTTACCCTGTATGTAAACATTTATCAAAACAGTATTGCAGGTGATATATGAAATTACCTTGACTCATTTTGATGATTACTCTTTATATTACTTCACTTTTAATAAGTGTATTGTTTGCATTTATAAAAAATCTGTAGATTAACCTGTATAATTTTTAAATAAAATTTAATAATTGTCTTTTTATTCTATTTTATATGTAATAGAAATATCTATTTTAAATTTATCTTGATCTGTTTAATGTTAATATATATATCAAAATAGAGATTAATAACATCTAACAAGAACTGTCAGTTGTAATCATAATAATCAGTGAAGTCTGTAAAAGATTTCTGTACAGGAGAATGAAATAACATAAAAGAGAAGTAATGAAAAGCAAAAGAAGCGTGACATTTTTGGAATGTGTTCTTTGTTCTAGGAATTTTGTAACTGCTGTAGTTTGTCGTCTTCTTGTTCTATAAATCATTGATTTTGATCTTTTAACAAAGAACTTAATATATTATAAATTCTGGACATATTTTAGCTTTTTGTTTCTGGCCGTCAACAAAATCTGTCTATGATATATAATTTAAGAATTACCTAAAAACATATGTAATATAAGATAGAAAATATAAAATATAGACCATGTTATAGAATAATAGACTTGTTTATTCATTTTTATTATATCAAAGAGCCTTAATTGAATTCTGATAAGATATAATTTGAAATAAGACATTTTAATAAAGTCTTATTTTGAATTAAATCTTGCTAGAATTCAATTAAGGCTCGTTAAGAGACATATTTATTGCTATAATATTCTGGTCTACCAATTGGTGTTGTAACTCCAATAATAAAAATGAAGCAAATAAATTCATTAATTTTATAATTGTAATAAGTTAAGAAATTTAGCGATTAAATAATTTTAGAAAGATCCAGAAAATAAATGATTCAAATCGTGAGTCGCATCTACAACTCCTGTGTATTGAGCAAGTATCTTATCAGTTACATTGCCTAGACCTCAGGAGTCATGTTTCCTCTTTGATATATAGGAAAGTAGATATATCATATAACTACTCTTGTTTTCCATTATTCTGATGGAAGATGTTATATCTTCAGATCCTGAAATGGTGAATGACAGATCATAATAAAATTAGGCTAATAAATTTATTAGAGAAAATCTAATAAGTAATTATTTATTTGTATAAATGAATAATTTTATTAGCTTATTTGATATACAGTGACTTGGTTAATACGATATATTAATTATTTTAGTTATTCTAAATATATTTGAATATGTATGTATTGGGAATATTTTCTTGCAAAGTATCATAATTTTACATTTTGATGAGATTAATAATTAAATTTAGTTATTGAATCATGAATGGAAAAGTAAAGAGAAATTTTGTCAGTTTGTATTTCAATATGAACCTTTGTATACATAAAACGAAGTTTATATCTTAATATTAGTTTAAAAAATATTCTTTTCTCCTTACAAAAATGAAGATTTACTTCTGTAAAAATAATCTAAAAATGTTTTCTTTAAACTGCTTTTATGAAAACTGGATCAGGGCTTCCCAATGCAGTTGGTATTGGTCCCTACAGGTCAATTAAAATTTGAGAGGGGTCGATAAACTTTGCAAATATAAAAACTTTATTAAAAATATTAAAAATGTTACATACTTTTACTCTCAAATAAATTTAGGAAAATACCTTTTTAAAAATTATATAGAAGGACTGCTGCTTATATTAATATATAATATTTAAGGGGATCAATGGAAAAAATTTTTCTTATTGTAAAAGGGGATCTGTACATGAAAAAAGTTGGGAACCCCTGCTTTAGACCATTATATTCTATGTAATGATTGTTGGAAGATTTTTGAATGATTCAGTTTGTACACTTGCTTTTACACCTGTCTGTTCTTCCCATTTTACTTTCAGTCCAGAAGAACAGCAGTATGTTCATTCAGACCAATTATGGATTTTGTTTTGCAGTGTTAATTGTTGAAAACCTACTATTTTGCCTCTAAAAGTGCATTACCTTCACATGGATTTATACCAGTGGATGACACAATAACTGGAAAAATATTGCTACAGTATTATCAGCTAATGAAAAGCATTCTTATGCTTACGATGGCATAGATGATGCAATCTTTGTAATTCCCTGGAAGTCTGCAGCAAAATGATTTTTTAATTGAAGAGAGTACTAATATATTTTTATAGAATTTTGACTCTAAATCCAATAATAAATGATATAAACAAATTTAGGAAAAAAATTTATTTATTTATTTAATTACAAACTATTCTTCCTACTTGCATTTTTCTTTCTATACTTCATCATACAGTAGAGCATCGATTATCCAACTCAATTGGGGACTCAGGTTGGTCGGATAACTGAAAAAATCGGATAACCGAAAAGAAGGAAAAAAATACACTATTAGTATAGTATATTAGGATATAAGTATATCCCATGTAATTAGTTTATTAGTACGGTAATACCTCGACTTACACGAACCCGGAGTTACGCGATTTTCAAATCTTGTCGATTCGTCTTTTGTTTGAGCACCACGCAACTCTCGATTACTCACTCCCCCCCACACTATTGTTCAGCCTACATGTTTGGTTGTTTAGACATGTCGCGCGGAATCGACACATAGCTACAATTTATTTTGTGTTATTTATTTCTGTGTTTGTTATATCTCGGAGACTCGAGAGACTCTGTAGTGATTTCTTGTAACCATGAACGAATCAAAAGACGAAATAAGATTAACGAGAACATTTATTAGCTTACATACATCCGACTTGGATTTTACACAAATTGGAAAATTATACCCCGACTTACGCGAATTCGACTTACGCGGTTATTGCTTGGTCCCACCTATCGTGTAAGTTTGGGGTATTACTGTATATCGCTATTAACCAACTTCGCGGTGAATTTTCATCGATGTTTAGCCTAATAAATTTTTTTTAAAAATAATAATCGTCGCTATTGTATCGTTAAAAAATTATTTTTAAATTATTTTATTGCT